GTCAGCCATCTTTCTCTTTTCAATGGGCATAAATAATGCAAGGGGTGTGCATGTGTCTGCATGTATGCATGTGTTTACACTAGAACATAGGGAAGAAGATGCTTCTAACTCTGCTTAAGTAATAATACATAAAAGCCTCGTCCTGAAGCAATTGTGAGAGCAGAAGACTAAAGCTCTCTCTCACTATGCATAGCATAGGAAGAGCATGTTTCAAAGGGTCAAGTTCAAGGTGACACTTCCTACTATTGTTGTCTCATCATGACAGATCATCTAAATAATAATCTAATTTTGGAAGTATGTGTCACAGTGGAGATAAAAGAGGGATATGAAAATAGGAGTGTTTGCATAGCCAGGCTCAGACACCAAGGAAAGTACAAATTACAGAAGGGGAGGAAGGAGAGAAGCTTTTAGTCTGTGAGGGTTCAAGTAGGTAAGCAGGTGCCACTCTCTGTTTTCTCCCCTAAGTGTCTCACAGTCTGGCTCTCACACTGCTTCCTCTAGCGTCTTTTCATTGTTAGCCATAATGACTGCGTGACAATATATTTCCTTTAAAATGTTTTGAAAAGGTTGTGTTCTTGGGACTGCCTCTATGCTCTCTGCTTGGCTGCATACAAAGATCTCTCCCAATGGTCCTTCACAATTAAAACCCAATTTTATCTTTCTCTTTTTCGTTTTGATTAAACCTTTTTTTATTACAATTCTCCATTTCTTCTTACTGTGTAGAGAAATACAGACACATCTGGCTCCTAATTTTCTCTGCCCTGGATAAAATCACATTTCTTAGATGTTTATTGGTATTGTGTGAAACATATGCTTTTAAAATGACAAATATCTGGATGAAATCTAATTACATAGAAGCAGCAAGAGACATGATCAATATATTTGGGCATTATTCTATAAAACTCCCAGACAGCTTTGCATCACTGTTTATATCTCACAGCTTCAACAGCAAAGCAAAATCTGAAAGGATTGTGGCACAGTGTAGAGACCAATAAGAACACAGAGGAGGTAGGTAAATGAGTGACCATAAGCAAAATATATTCCTCTTTTGTAGTACTTCGAAAAAATTATAGTTATGGGCTTCGGCTATCACACAAATGCTCATAGGTATTATAAGTCAATTTATAATGTTATTTACTCCTTATTTGTTAGGGATAGAAGAAATCAGAAATGCTGACACCAGAAAAAAGAAAATCAGAAGAAGGAAATAGAAGCATATGTTTTTTCCTTATTGCAACGATGAGCAGAGGTTGTGTGATGTCTGAATGAGCTTTCCATTTATGCACTTGTTTCAATCCCTCACCCCTAGGATGTATGTAAAAAAATTCAAAAGTCAAGACTAGGCTGAGGGTCAAGTCGCTAGTATTCTTTTTCTTATGATAGGAAGAAAAAGGGCTACAGCAATTGTAGATTCATATACAGTCATGTGTCGCTTAACAATGGGGATACGTTCTGAGAAATGCATCGTTAGGCGACTTCGTTGTTGTGCGAACATCACAGAGAATACTTACACAAACCTAGATGGTATAGGCTACTCCACACCAGGCTATATGGCGCTAATCTTATGGGAACACCGTCATATATGCAGTCCGTCATTGACCAAAAACGTCGTTGTGCCGCCCATGACTCTGTCTCCTTCCGCTTGTTCAACCTAAATACTGTGGCCTCATATTTAGGAGTTTATAAACACACACTCTAAGCTTCAGGATTCCTTTGGGTTAGTCTCCAGAGCTTTCAAAGAGGCTATATACGAAGTGGTAGAATATTTGATATCCCTCTAGCTTCGAGGACTCAGAAAATCCATCTGAATGGAAAAAAAGCTTCACTTTTTATAGGGACATAATTAGATCAGGGTGACCAGAACTCTGACACAGGACACACAAATTTAGAGAGCATAAGTTTAAGCCAACAAACAAACAAACAAACCTGTTTCAGGCAGTATAAAATTTTAAGGTACTCAGCAAATTTCCACACCAGCTCTCTAGGCACAAGGCTACTAGCTCAACCCTAGAACCAGGCCAGCTTCTGCGGTAGTGGACAGAGACAGACAGTGCTGGAAAGTCAAGGGCAAGGGCAGAGACTTCTACCCTTTGTATGCTGAGAGCTTGGGAGTAAGGTTATCTCCTCTTTTCCACTTGCCTCATCCTCTCCCTAGCACACAGCAGATTAAAGTTGCCCAAATTGCTACTCCTATTTAGTTATAATTACTGCTGACTTTGTCAGAGCCTTGAGCTAAGTTGCTCGTCCTGGGAGCTGCTTACTCATCCTTGAGGGACGCCTACCAAAAGTCATAAAATCTGAGAGCCGACCTCTGCACTGGGAAGATGAAATATAAAGCACAGTATTGCGCTCAGTCCTTATTCCTCTACATACTTGTCCTCAAGTTCCCACCAAAGTCCTTATAGCTTTGATTTTTAGAACACCACAAACAGAGCAGATACTGCCTGGTTCTGGTGAGAAAGTTTTTAGACAACACTGTGGACTGTGACATTTTTTCCCATTAAGTCCCTCGTAACAAGGATTTGTCAGTTAAAATTTCACAAGTTCAATATTTTTCAATACAAAATTAAAACTATAGATGGCTGAATTTCCAAACAAAGAAATAAGAGGTTGTATATAATAAAATTATGAAACTACCACAGTTGCTGACAAGAAGAAATATTATCAGTATCCTTTCCATTTGGAATCATCTATAACACTCCTGGAAAGCTTTTGACTAATGGAAGAATATTTTTGGCAAATAATTTCTTCAGTTATTTTTCATGCAGGTTTTTAACCCATGTTGTCCACTGCTTCAGGTATAATTTATATTTAACCTAAACAAAGTTTTTAGCCAAGAGAAGGGTATGAGACATCACAAAGCCAAATACAGAGTGTTGTCCGAACATCTATCATTTTGGATCATTTACTTCTTACCTTTGTTAAAATAGCTAAAAGTGAACTAAACAGAAATAAAATCCAGGGAGTATGCCTTAACTTCTTGTGTTAATTGCAGTTTAGATGCACAATGTTGTATAAACTGTTAGTCAAATACTCTATATAAATTGTATGTATCCAGTGTCCTCTTGCTTATAAAAATCGTTCACGTAAAAAAATTACTTTTTTTTCTCATGGAATGACTTAGTCCTTTTTTACCCATCTTAATTTTACTGAAGTGTAATTAAAATTAAACAGAGGTATTCATGATCTCTGGCATCAATGCAATTCTCAAATTGGAGCTAATAAAAATAAAAAGTCGCATCAGGTACTCATTTTCAGTCTCTTCACCCACTCTTTTGCCCCCATAAAGCAATCTAATTTTTGTTACTAAAAAGCAATTTAAAAATTAGACTGATGTTAGAGGGTAATGCCCTCTCTTGATGCTTTGAAAGTGATGGAATATTTTCTTATTCAATGTGCCTGCCGTAACCTGAATATCTTCTGAGCCGAATCTTAAGGGTCAGTAATATTAAAATATAAGTGACCAAATTTGGTAAAGTATGAGGCCTAACTCTAAAGTCTTTTCAGATAAACAAAATAAAATAAAGTGAGTTTAGAATTCAACTTCTTTCTAGTAACAGAGTAGTCCAGAGTACTCTGCAGGATAATTTTAGAGAGATCTTAATTTAGGAACACATACATTTCAATAAGAATAAAGATGCATAACTTTATGTGACATACACACACCACCCCCCCAGGTTTAGATACATCTGTCTAACCGCAGACAAGGGGACATGTATGGCATACCTATGAGCTGTTGCTGTAAAATAATGTCAAACTACAACCTACTCTAAGAAAACATTTTCATTAAATTGTAGTCATACATTGAACGATGTGAGCATGTTAAGTGTATCCTTAAATGAAGACAATGTGGAACAATCAAAATTTCCTTTTGGTCTAGTCCAGAGTCTCTCAACTTTGGTACTATTGACATTTTAGACTGGGTAATTCCTTGTTGTGCAGGGGCTGATCCGTGCACCATGGGATGTTTAGCAGGATCCCTTACCTCTACTCAGTAGATGCCAGTAGCACCCTCCAAATCACGATAATCAAAAATGTCTCCAGACATCGCCAAATATCACCAGAATCGCCCTAGATGAGAAGCACTGGTCTAATCAAATATTATTAGTTGGAGCCATTTCTGTTTTGTCTTTCAGAAGCCACAAATTTATAGACTAAACATTGTACACATCTATTGCATAAACCTATCCCAGAAATCATAACAAGATGTAAAGTTTCCAGATAGCATTTTCAATAGAACCATGATACAGGGGTTTTATGCAGCGCATTAATTACATTTTAACGATTAAAGCACTAATTTGAGTGGTACGTATTTTAATAACATTTGTTTGTGTTTTTTGTTAGCCCTTTCACATTTCTGATGAACTGTATAGGTAAAAATGTATTCCTTTTTAAGGTAATTGTTAAATAATAAAATAGCTCAAGAGAGGAAATATATTCAGGGTTGCACATACAGTGAATATTGAACATAACTCACTCATAGTACATTCTCATTGCATTTTTGCTGCTAAATAGGATCAAAATAGCAAATCAGTTCTGTACAGAATTGACACTCTCAAATTCTTAACTTTCAAAGTATCAATATAATCTGTCATGTCAATCAGTCACATTTTAACTGCTGATTTCTATAATAACCTCAATATTCAATTTCATTTAGAAATTGTGCTTTATTTCATCTCTGAACATTAAATTATGACCATTACGCCAATTTGCAAATAAATAATGCACTAACATCTGCAGTCTTTTTGCACTAAAATAATAATAACAACGCAAACAGGCTTACATGACACAGACCTAAAAATTGGATTTATACCCTAAATTCTGAGAAGGAGGGAAAGTGGCTCGTGTTACCCAGACTATGAACAACACAGTCTAAATTCAACAATGCTTCACATTGTCCAAGTAGACGTGACAAAAGGGGAAGAAGCAATTCTTATTTAACATTTTAAAAATGGAGGGAGACCAGAGTTAACATAGACTTGGTTCAACAAATCACAATAATCAGCTGTAGTGTTTTATATCCTTATTACTCAGTAAGAGATTTTTTAAATCTACCCCATCAACCATTCACTGCCCCTAAATAGGGCAAAAATAAATAATAATTTTTTTAAAAGCTGTGGTTCTAATGTCAGTCTTAGTAAGACTTGTTTTCCAATTAAGCCATTCTGTGTTGATAATCACTAATACTTTTGCCCTGGCATTTCCTTATCCTACTTTGATTAGTTCCTCATCTTCAATAACTAGAGTTCCATCTTATTTTGAACTGCATGTTCTAGATTTGAACCATGTACATGTGCTTTACCAAGATCTTTTAATCAGCATGTTACTAGTTGCAAATCCACAATGTGCTAAAAATATTTCATAGGACGTTTCATTTCTTATTTGTTCTCCAAGCCAACAATTAAAGTAGAGTTTCCCTTGTTTTTTTTTTTTTCTTCCCAAGTGGCCCGCGCAAATCCATGAAACAACTTGACCATTTCCTTTTGGAGTCACGTAGAAAACCTAACAAAAATACCCTGGCTCAGTTCTTTCTTTTCCATTGTCCCTAGGAAGTGGGCTGGAGTGAGGGATCCTCACACGGGTCTAGCTGCATTCTCAGTGCACCGATTTTATGAAGATACCAGAGTTGGAGAAATTCCTCCGGCATGGCATGGAAGCCAGAAAAGGGCAAGACGTTGTCGTAGTAGTGGTGGCTGATGGGCTGCTCATGCATATTTACAGAGAAGGGCCAGAAGCCATAGAGGGCCACCTCTTCACAGAGGCCCAGTGCTGCGCTCACCAGAAAGAGTCCTGTGGACAAGCGCTTGGCATGGATTCCCCTACTTTTCCAGAACTTCCCAATGCTACGCAGAAAGTTGGGGTTCGCAAAGAGCACTGTTTGATTGGCACCGACATCTGACAGTGTATAATAAACCCGGAGGGATGGCTCTGTTCCTGTCTTCATAGAAAAGGCAGGCATGTAGATGTAACTGTGGTTATAGATTTTCATGTTGTCCACAAATGTCTTTCTGGACCACAGCAAGTTCTGAAACCTATTAAAGAGAAAAAGAGGCTCAATTAAACCTGGAGAAAAGAAATTCATCAAAACTCACTCTACTGTTCTTCTGAGGGCCCTGATAGTTCACATTATCTCAACAAAAAACATGAAAAACACCTAAATTGAAAATCCTCTCTGAACTTACCAATTATCTCTCATCAAGTAGCCTGGCTTTCCCCTACCCCAATATCTTAAACTCAGGTTAAGATTCCTTAATGGGATTCCCTCTGAACTAAAGTTCTTTGGACACTTTGTTCTCTTGCAGAATTTATTTGCCTGGAATGTAAAAATGGTTTAATACTTATGAATTCACAAAGGTTGTTGGTTATTGGATAGGATTTTTTTCTTTTTTTGAGGAAGACTAGCCCTGAGCTAATATCTGCTGCCAATCTTCCTCTTTTTTGCTGAGGAAGATTGGCCCTGGGCTAACATCCATGCCAATCGTCCTCTACTTTATATGGGACACCGCCACAGCATGGCTTGATAAGTGGTGCATCGTTCCGCGCCCGGGATCCGAACCTGCGAACCCCGGGCTGCTGAAGCAGAGCTCGGGAACTTAACCACTATGCAACCGGGCTGGTCCCTCTGGAGAGGATTTTGATAAAAGCTACTTCTGTGGTCTGACATAAGCACAGGACTGATTTCCTCAACTGCAAATCAAGGAACCATTCAAATTCTATGATTCCATAAGTATTCAAAATAATCAATGCTATATTATAATATTGAAATGCTTCCCATTGAAACTCTATGATTCTATAAGTATTCAGAATAATCAATGCTATATTATAATTATAATATTACATGGAAAAAGAAAGACTTGTTACTACTATAAAATGATGCTGAGAGTTGCCCATACTGCTTGCTCCAAAGAACTCTACTTTCCTGATTTCTTTCAGTTTGAATTACAAAAAGAGAGGCTCTCTGGTTCAAATGTATTCAACTAAAATTTATGGTATACATCCTGTGTGTCAGGCATTGGGGAATTAAAAATTTAATGACCCAACTTTTTATCTCAAGAAATTGAAGTCTAGCTGTGGAAACAAAAATATAAATGAGTACAATATAATATGCTTTATATTTGTATAAAGTACTATGGAATACAGATGAAAAAAGTAATTAATTCTGCCTTGGCAGAGGGAGTGGGATCCAAGAAAGCTAGAGAGAGGGGATGACATTTAAATACACTTCCTTAGGGGAACAGTAGGAAGAAGAGCAACTAATGTGGAAGGGACACTGGTCATAGGTGAGGGTGCACAGTGTACTGAAGCAATGACGAGGATTCAGTGTCCCTGGAACGTGCGAGGCGGGAATGGTGGGGGCAGTGGTTGAAGATGAAGCGTGTTGTGAGAAAGCTTGTGCGTCTCTAATTTGTTTGGACTTCACTCTGTGCTGATGGGGAACCTCCACGGCAGTACTTACAGCACTTACTATTTGGATTACAAAATCATTTGTTTCGTCGTCAGTCTGTGTCAAAAAAGGGAACTCTGGTAGTTTAGAAAATGATCTAGGGAAGTTAAGAGTTGGTTGATTTAGCTCAAGTGAAAAAAGAGAAAAATCTAGCGCCTTGCAACTTTTGTCTTCTCTCACCCGTGGGGAGTCGCCCATCTCAGGATACATGCAGGTGAAGCAGCAGCATCTAAAAATGGAACCGAGCCACAACTAGCAGAGGGAAGTCTGGCCTGACATGTTGGTAGGGTTCATCATAAATACGTAAAACTAACATTCTGAAGAAACAAATCCACAGGATTTTATGTAGCAATCAGTGTTATTAACTCTGCCCGCCAAGAAAGGTGTGTTTCTCAAGCCCAAAGGAAGGCAAAGCTCAAGTTTTCTTCATGTCCTTGATCTAGCAGCCTGCCTTAGCAATTTTCCCTGGGCTCTGACAAACAGAGAAGTGATAACAGGGTTTTCAGGTAGAATCACTCTACCCTAGGAGAAGCCATGGAAGCATATTTCACCATATTCTGAAGCTGGGCCAGCCTCTCCAACACAAATTCCTGCCTCCCAACTTCAATAAGATTGGCTTAGTAATTCTTTTATTCTCTCCATTGCCCACCCATATCTTCTGCTCTCTTCCTAAAACACTAATGCTTTCCCAATAATGTAGACACACCCTGCAGATAACCTTCTACTTTGTTTGAACCATGGTTCTCAAACTTTAGTTAGAATAACCTGATATCACAGGTTCCTGTGTGCTGATGAGAGTGATCCAGGAGCTGAATTTTTATCTGACACTCCCTGGTGATTCTGATGCAGATGTCCAGGGAATGTACTTATTTAGACAATCAAAGCCATCAATGTAAGCTATCTAGCTCTTTGCATCTACCCCTCAAAATTTCTTTCTTTATATCTTCTAATTTTATCCTTGTTGCAATCCTAAGAGGAAGAAGTGCCCCCTCTTCCCCTCTGTGTCTTGGAACAAGCTGTTTCACACTTTCTAAAGAACTCATGTTCTGAAGTGGATCTATCCTCTTTAAAACATTCAATCTCTCCATCTCCACTGAATTATTCCCTTCTGTCTTCTAAACATGGTTAGAACTTAATAAGAGAAAATTCATCATATACTATTCCTAGAGCTACATTCCAGTTCTCTTATTTCACCATCAATATTCTGAAGTCTAATTAGTATTCTTCTCTTGCTTCCCTTTCCTGTTTCCATTCCCTTCTTATTGCTGCGCAGAATGGCTCCCATTCCACAGGGCTGCGCCGGCTGATGGAACGTATCCTTATTTTTGTAGCGGACTACACAATAATGAGAATTACAGACAACTCCAATAAAATCAGGGCAAATGATTTTGTGTTCCCTGTCTTAAAGCTGACTGATTATTCTTGAAGCAGGCAGTCTTCTTTTCTTGAGTTTTAACTTTGAAAAGGAACACACATCTTGAATTTACTATAGTCTTAATCTTATTGACACTGTTAAAGAACCAGCCTATATATTACATTTTATTATTTTTACCTACCCTGTTTTTTAATAAATGACATTACTTAAGAACTCAATTCAATTCAATAATTATTGATGGCATACCTAATTTATCTCATGTTATCCTGATCAAGAGTTCAATAGGGGTAGTTTTGAATTTTACTAAATTATTACAAAATTCAACTAAAATTATAAAAGAGTGGTGGCTCCAGCTTCTCTCTCCAGCTTCATACTCAGCTACTTTCTATGCCCTCATCCTATGCTCCAGCCATTCCTGTGTGCACCTGTCCACATCTTTTTTCATATATAGTTTCCTTTTTGCTCATCCATTCATTGCTCTGGTGAAGTTCTGCCTATATATCAAGACTCAACTTAAGCTTTTCCTTCTAAAGCTTATTCTTTTTTTCCAGCGTAAGCTTTCAAACAAGTCTTCTTGGAACTCCTCAACATGAACTGATCATACCCTCCAAGACTGTGTACTCCTTGAAGACAAGGGACAAGTCTTTTAATTTTTATAACCTAGCTCAGAATAGTTGTACACTGTATGAATATAAAACTATTAAATAACAATTGAAAAAGAAGAAAAATGAAATCAGATGAGCCAACGAATTATTAAAAATAGAAATGATTAATATATTATGAATATAGACATGAAATAGAAAAAATATATCAATAGAAAGAGCAGAAAGCCAGCCGATTTTACAAATGAATCCTAAATATAACAATACAGAGAAAACTGATGAAATTTTAAAAATTAAATAATAAATAATATCAAGATAACTAGTTAACAACTTGGAAATTTGAGGGGGAATAGATTCATACTTTACAAGAAAATTACAAAATAACTTGAAGATAAGTAAGATGAATATTTACAGTCTACATTACAAGAAAAACTAAAGAAAACAAGTGTGTGAACTTATTTACAAAATATCTTTCTACGAAGGAAAATATTGACAAAATTATGTCAAGCTGTAAAATTTCACTAGCATAAAAAAATAAGATAACTAAAATAAAAAGGGAATGACAAAAATATTTTCAGCAAATATGACAAATAGAAGATTAATAATGATAACATTATAGAGTCTAAATATATTGACATGAAATTGGAGAAAAACACAGACAATTAATCTAAAATAAATTGCAATTAATAAAAAATGCAAAATGCTCAGTTTCAGGATGCTAGTCAAGATGCAAAGTGAACAGAATCAGGAAAGGTAGGAGTCCAGCTTTTCTCTCCTAGAGCAAATCTCTAGAAATGAGAGAAAAGATGTATTTAAAAATCTACATCCATCCTCAAAAAAGAAAAAAAGGCCTACTCTCAGTGAATCCCCAAATCTGAGCTACCTCTGAAAAACAGAGAGCTTACAGCAGGAAACCAGAGCATAAACTGACTTGCTGAGCATTGTTCTAACAGGTAGCAGTGCCCTATGCCCAAAGGCAGGAGACACTGGAGAAGGTGCGTGTCTTGGAACAATTAACAAGGTTATTGTTTAAGATTATGGGGCAGCAGGGACATCCAGGTGGGTTGAACCCTAAAGTCCTGCACTGGTCAATTATCACTGTGTGTAGTGGGTAGAGGGTGTCAGTCTCTCTGGAGGAAGAGTGGCTGTGTGTCCAGAGCTGGTCAGCCCAGGGAAAACTGGGCACTCTTTTCAACTCGTACAATATTGGCAACCTGGCTTATAGTTCCCGACTAGAATATTGCCACTGACTGGCCCAAGATAAAAGACATACAGATAATGACATTTGGGAATCACCTAAGAGAAAGCCACCTTGCCACCTTCTCAACCAAGAGTGAAGCCCACCTGTGACAGGTCCACCCTCTGCACAGAGCTTCCAGTTGCCAAACAGGAACAGATAACCAAGATCAGAAGACAACGAAGGGAAGCCTCCAAGACGAGAATCAGAGAAGAAAATGGAAGAACAAAAAAGAACTCAGAGGAAATCAAGATCATTCAAGGGGCAGAAGAAAACTCTTAAAAATCTATAATTAGCCTGTTTAGAAATATTAATAATTATTGCATCCATGAAGTAAGACTAGGGTGTTATAAAAAGAAAAGAAACATTTAGGT